ATTGGCCACCTTTTCACTTAAAGCGATCTCTTTCATGTAACCTTTGGATGGAGATTTATTTACATTTTTATAAGGTTCTATTGTAACAAACTTAAAATATCGAAAAACTCATTTAAACTATAAATTTCTGCGTTCCAAATAAATAAGATACCTCACATCTATCTCAGCAAATGATAAGTTTTTTACGTGTTATTAAAAAATACTACATAAATAAATCTAACACCATTCTTGAAGAAAATCTACCTAAAACGTATTCCGTACAATAGGTAGAGAGGTACCTGCAGAAAGCCATTAAAAATCCGCCCCAACAGACATAGAACGAGATTAACGGAACGGCGAGGTGGGGACCTCGCGCCCACCGAGACCCGATCAATACTTCAGACGAAATGGCTTCTAATCTCGGGGCGATCTTGCGTCCTTGTCCCGCTTGAGATGCGGATCACTCGGCTCATCTTCAAAAACACCCCTATTCCTATCGCGTTTAGAGCGATTTTTCAACTGCGCTAACTGTATTTCAGTTATATACCGGCCTTTTACAGTGGGTACATATATAAGAGATGTATTTTGTAACACGTGCCTTGAAATGGATTTTGGTTATATTCATAAGTTATTTAAGTTATTTGCGTATTACTTTAGTACATTCATCATGCTTCCTTGCATGTTATATCTATATATATATACGCTAAGATTACCTTAGAAATATTCAATTATCGTATGATGTGATAGGTATTGAACAAACAGATAAGAAAATTATTTAATTGCGTCACGCTTGTCCGAACAAAGGCTATTTCTGTTTTATAATACATTACTTGTAATAGGTACTTTGAACGTTTATCTTGTGATCATAGTTTTGCTATATTACTATGAATAGAATAGAAATAATCTTTATACAAATAAACTTGTTTGAAGCATTTTTGTATGGTATTTTTTTTATGATTCTATAACTGAGTTCGAAATATTGTTATCTGAAGATAAGACATTCCAAGAAACTCGACTATTATTTTCAAATAATTTCCAATATTTCAGTTTATTGATATGTAACGACTGTGGCATTTTAAGCATATATATATATATATATATATATATATATATATATATATATATATATATATATATATATATATATATATAATTGTACTAGTTCGCCGTGTGCGCCCCGATATAGAATGGGCCACTCCTTCCTTTCCCGTGGGTGTCGTAAAAGGCGACTTCGTAAGAGGGGAGGGCGAAGGATAGGCAGCAGCGTCCCTCTTAAAATATCTCTAAAAGCCTACCTGAGGTTGACAACCCACCTGCCAAGCGTAGCAAGTACTGGCAACACTCTCCTTATGGGGAAGGCTTATGTTCAGCTGTGGACATTTAACGGCTGAAATACTAATGGTACTTAATGAAAGTTAATCGGAAGTTGAAGTTAGTCGGGAAAGGGTAGGTAGATTCTATAGTACATTGCGGAGCTGAGGCTATTCATTTTTTTTTTTATTAATGACAAGTGTCTGACATTTTTGATGTATTTTTTTATATAACATTTCGAATTTTAGTGACTTATTTAACATTTATTCTTTTTAATTTTTAATATTTGCATGCCTAATTATGGCGAAATATGAGGACTTATTGTAACATCTATACACTTACCATGTTTCTTGTAAATAAATAAATAAATAAATAAAAATAAGATTACGCAAAATAATGACGAAAAAACAAAATATAAAAATAAGATATAACAAAAATATAAATATTTAAAGCGAATGAGACAAATCAATTCCAATACTAATGATGTATTACAAAGGTGCATGCATTGTTTCGTGCACTATTAAAAATGCAAGTCCATCACTGATTGGCATCTTCATAAATACATCGATCAATCTTCACATATGCGCACGTCTAGTGAAAGAATGTTTTTATTAAATGGATGATAATGGAATGGTAATCCCACCACCACTCGGTATATACTAGCGGGTGATATGAAAATAGGTCAATTTGCCCATACTAATAAATTTAACAAGAATTGACCACGATGATTTTCAAGACGATCCCCGTGGTGGTTGACCTGATAGGGTATATTACTAGCAATGAGGTAGTTAGGTCCCCTTACTAATAATTCCTTTCCCCCAGTGACGAATGTTATAATGATACATAAAGCATTATTTCCACGAAACAGCTCACATCGTATCAGATCGGAATGGATTTTATAATCTTTAAACGATACTAAATCGTGTACATAGTATTTAAAGTCTATATTAGCAAGTTGCACACAGCAGCTTAACCGTTTATTGTTTACATATGTTACGATATCCAACATATTGTGGTCCCGGCATAGAATGGGCCATCCTATCTTGTCATGTGGTGTCGTAATAGCAACTAATGGAATTTAATGGTCAAGAAATGGGCAGCAGCATCCCTTTTAAAGCATCAGCGAAAATCTAATTGCGGTTGTCAACCCGCCTGCCAAGCGTGGCAACTATTGGCAAACTTCCTTTTATGAGGAAGACTTAAGTCTAGCAGGAACAGATAGTGGATGATATAGTAACAATAATAATGCAACATATTTCATATTTATTTTTTTTGTTAGGACGAATCGCTCTGTCGTATACCTAATATGACAGAGCGATTCGTCCTCGCTATTGGATACGGGTGACGTGCCAGCTCGAAATATAGGAGATGAACTCAAGAATGGACGTACACATAGAATATGGTTAATGTGTGTAAGTATTGAAAGTATTTCATATTTTATTGTTACAACTGTCAAAGGCTCAATTCAGTAGATGTCCAGTGATCACATGTAGCAAGTCTGTTCTGTTTGTAGAGGTTTGTAACGTGAACGCTCGGGCGCACACGCTGGAAAACAGGCGAACAATTATGCAACTACTCATACACCTATTGTTATTTGAGCATTCTTCGTTATAAATTATCTTTCTTTACAATGAATTCGTTAATACGCAAATTAGTGATTTATCTCTTTATGTATCTTGATAAGGAATTTCCATTGAAATTGTATATATGCAAGTTATTTATACTGATATCTACATTTGCTTAACGTTTTTACTTTATACAGGTTTCTAAATAGGTACATTTTATAATTTATCTGCCTTTTGTTATCTAGAGTATTATTATCCAATATAAAATCCACAGAAGATAAGATCTTAATAAGAAAATAATCTGAAACATTCAAACAAAAAAAGAGGACGTTCTCAATTCGGTTATATTTTTTTTTAGTTTTGTACCGGTAACGGAAGTATCGTTATTTTCTTTTTATTTTTACAGAAATCAATATTACAAAATGACACGTTGTACTACTATTGGGAAACCACTTAGATTTATATTAGGTAATGCTAAATCATAGACTCAGTATAAAGTAACTTCATAATCTAAATGCTAAATACATTGAAACTATATGTTAATATTCAATAAGATTAAGCAAGAAGTAACTATTCATAAACCGATTTGGACTTTTTTTATCTGAAAATATATAGGTATTTTTAGAGTAATCCAATAGAAATTTCATTAAAATTTGGTTTTAAATTTGGTTTATACCGTGTGATATAAGTTTTTTTTTTTTTTGTTTTATGGAAAAGTATTTATCTTGATCTTGATCATAACAAACCACAAAAACGAGAAATTACTGAATCAAGTTTCTTCTAAAACAAATCTACTTCAATAAAGTTTACACCTTTCACATAGGCCTATATATGCATGATATGAAAAGTTTATGTTACTAATAAGAAAAAAATGTAAATGTGATGTAATCTAAATATAATAACAGTAAGACTTAATCCACTAGTGTATTGTTTTGAAATGCTTCGTTGTATCATATGTTGGTGATCTTATAAATAAATAAATACATAAATGTCATAAGCTATACAACAAATAATACAATAATAATCGTGTTATAAAGTGTACATTAGCATAAACCGAATAAATTCACCGATCAGTCGCTGCGTCCATTTCACTTGTCCCCGTTGACAGGTCACCCGACCCGCCATTTGAATACAATGGTGGTCGCGCATGCGCACGTCGCGAGATCGAGAGCTTCTCGGTGACGTGACGATTTCTTTGTCTAATCGAACGTTTTATTTGCGTCTGCATCAATTGTTGTTTATTGGTGGTATTTAAAAAAAAAAGAAAAAGAATTTTATTTTTCTTAAACATTCCCAGATATTATGAAGAGATATTTTATTAACTTTTAATGAAATATCAAATAATACAAAATTTTCCTTAACTCTATCACATTTTCAGGATCCTAATAGCTCAACTAATTTGTATGAAATTTAATATAACATAATATTTGGGATGAGAAGGACAATATGTCTTTTTGTCTGGGCATGACCAAAAAGTTCATGGGAGAAAATATAGCGGGCACCTTAGATTACATTGAGTATCAAAAACATGTCTAAATTTTATCAGCTAATTTAACGTATGGTTTATTTTTTTTTTAAATTAAAACAAAACCAATTTTTTTAGTGTTACAAGTAATAATATTAAATTAAATATTTCCCAAATCAAGCCAATTTTTTTTTAAATTTCAATTTAAAACATTTTTTTCTAATATAATATAAATAGATGTACGTGTAGCTAATAAATACATATATACCAATTTATTAATAAAAATGGCGCCTATTTTTAAACATTGAAAAACGATAACATATTTTCTTTCTATACTTAGATATAAATCAAAGTATTCACGAAAGATCAATCATAATTGCAAATCATTATGCACTGTTTATCTTGATTTTTCAAATAAATTCCTAAGAAGTTTTTGCCGTTTTTATTGTTCAATTTAACCTTATAATATAAATGTCTCCCACATCCGTAATATTAACTTTGCATACTGCTAACCCGATTTACGCACACAGATAAATAAGTTGACCTATTTTTGGTGAAACCTTTGTATGGAGGCTATCTATCTATATAATCGAAGGCGGGCACATAATAGTTATTTTCTAGCAAAAGTACATGTATTATGTAAGCACCGAATGTACGGATTATTACAATATATGTAGAGATGGGCAATCCACCTGGGTGGGTTTAAAGTCTGGTGGGTAAAAACCGGGTGTTTTGGGTTTATTGGGTTTAAACCCCATAAACACCCAAATTTTTGGGTGTTTATGATTTTGTACTTCATCATCGTCATCTCAGCCGCAAGACGTCCACTATACTGGACATAGACAATATTATTATGCAGCCTACAGAATAAAAAACTTTTAATTTGATTTTGAGTTTATTAAGAAAGAGATGAAAGTAAAATGTAAAACTACAGTCAATCACTGTCAGATTCAGAGTTATTACAAGCGATGAATTGTATAGGTTCGATAGGCTCTATTTCGTCTAAACTGTTATGTTCATTTACTTGCTCAATGAAAGCTTCTAAGGTATTTTCTTCATTAAACTGAATGTCCTCGCATTCAGCTTTATGTTTAAGATTCCAGTTATAACAAATGAATGAAATTTTTTCAGTTCTTTCAGTTGTAAGTCGATTTCTTTTGTTATTATGTATGTAGCCTTGGATACTAAAGGAACGCTCAGTGGCTGCCGAAGTACAGGGAGCTGATAGAATACGAATCGCTACTTTGCTTAACTCAGTGGAACCACAAATACCTTTCCACCATATTAGGGCCTCAATGCTATCTAATGAGCTCCATACAAATCCTCTGGCCCAAAAGTTTTCTTTAGCTTTATAACACGCCAAATCTGCCATTACATTTGACAAACTTAAGTGTTGGCTTAAATTGTAGATAAACTCCATACCCTTAAGTTCTTCCTCTTGAGTAAGTTCGACTTAGAGTCCTGGGGTCTAGAATATATGCTGCAAAATGTATTGGCCTCATTGCCATATTGCATCTTGAAGATACTGATGTTAGAATCTGCTGTTTGCTTTCTTCGCTCAATGTCGAAATCTCATTTAATGCAAAACGTATCTTAGCTTGTACATCTCTAAATGTAATGTATGTGCGATGCAAACGATTCTGGTCGCTCTCTAAGTAAAATATGCTTTCAGTGACTGGTTCCAAAATACTTATACATTCCCCTGTCTTCGTCCAGAAATCATCACTTAGAATTAAATCTTTAATATCTCTTGAAATTACCACATCTTCTCTAACTGTTAATATTTGCAAAGCTATCTTATTTGCTTTCAAACTTTTTAACGAAGTAACATGACTTCCCCATCTTGTAGCACAAGGCAATTTTAGTGTTTGTGTAGAATCTTCACCCTGCCTTGATTTTATCAACAAGGAACTTAATCGTTGACTCCTTTTAACAGTTTTTATTATATTTATGGCTTGCATAATAAACACAGTTACTTCTTGTATCTTTACAATATCTTGGCACAACAAGTTAAGGATATGTGCACAGCAACCGAGAGGAACAACATGTGGATATTTGAGTTTTGTTAATTCGAATGCCTTTTGTATATTTCTAGCGTTATCGCCAATAAGTACAAGAAACTTATTTGCTCCATACACTTTCATTACTTTTTCAACTTCTTGGCTAAGGTATTCACTAGTGTGAGGATTACTTTCTGTATTCAAACTTTTAACGTATGCAGGTTGAGGTTTTGATATAAGAAAGTTTATTATTCCTTCATTTCTTAAATTAGACCAGCCATCGCACTGAAGGTGTAAGTAACTACAAGCATTTAGTTCCTCATTTAACTCAAAACGCATTTCTCTATATATTTTATCTAAGTATTTTGTCGCTAAAGCTTTACGTGAAGGTATTTTAAATTTTGGTTGCAATTTTTCGAAAAATTGTATCCATAAAGGATGTTGCACCATCGATAATGGCGTCCCTGTTACAAATATAGCTCTCGCTAATTCTGTTTTTATATGATCATCGGTGTCTTGAAACTCAGCATTTATTGTAGTGTTAGCAGACGACGAGGGGCTTATAAAAGAATCATTTGTCTCTATCTCTGACAGTCCAGACATTTTGGTTTTGGACGAGCTATCTTTTATAAGTTTCATAGAGTCTTTTAATGTTTCTGGAGATTTTGGACAAGTGATAAGATGTTGAAGCATTTTGGCAGCATTACTGAATTTGTAGACCTTATTACAAAGCTTGCAAGAAACAGACTTGTTTGGTAAAGTACGGTAGTGCTCCCATATGCGTAAATCTTTAGGTCTCCCCATTGAACCTAAAAAAATGAACGATGATTAGTTGGTCTGACGAAAATTCAACAATAGAGTGCCTATTTTTTTACAATGATTATTTCTTGTTATTTACAATAAATTTATTAAAAAAATAATAAAATAAATACAAAAAACCTTTGTAAAATTACATCTCCTCGGAGGATTAAACGCAGACGCTAGTTTATTATCGTATTGTTCTGTATTTTTCTCAGCAACTTCTTTAATTCGATTAGGTACTTACGCATATTATGTTAAAAATAAATATCTAGTACACATCTTAGGCTATCCACCATTATTATCCAATGACGACTCTCAGCTAACTATGCACTATCATCCAAAATAAACGTGTATGGAAAATTTTATCCCAGTCGGTTGAGGATTGAGGATAATTGCATCAACATACGAACATACCTACATACTTTTATTTACATAACGCAAGCTAAATAAAAGCTTGTAATTATACATCTAATTTTAAGTTAAAATTGTTAAGTGATCATGATATAATTGTATCATTCAAAAATCCACTTACCTTTAATTATTTCTTGTTAAGTATAAATATTATTTCAAATCTGCTCCCTTAATATGCACTTTTTTACTGCTTTTCCTACCTAACACGTTACCAGGAAGTCACGTTACCAGAGTCAGAGTAATAGTGAACACGTTTGACAGTGATTGTCGTCGCCTCATATTCAGCGTCGACGAATAGGGGAATCCCCAGTCATAATGTATTGCATGCGTGGCGGTCTTACTTCAAATCCATAAACAAAGAGATAATTACAGAACTCGATACTAGATGGCGCTGTTTTTGTTTGAAGAAAGTTTGCGGGCTAAAATACATAGAATTTCATCAATGACTTCCACAAAGAACAACATTTCTGTTTTTTCTAAGTCCGTATCTCTTCCGTATATTTCATAAGATATAAGCTTGGGCTACATTGTTATGCAACGTGATTTTGTCGCTGTCTTGCTAGCAGGGTTGACAGATATACGATTTAAATCGTACTCATACTATTATTTGTCTATTTTTTAATGTACGATCGTAAAGATTATGATCGTAATTCGCACAAAAACATACGACTTTTTGGTTACCTGGCAACATTTTTATTATGAAACGAACATGCTCACATCATCAGTCACATGCAACAATTTATTGGGGATTTCCCCTTCACATCTGGCAGTCCTGCTTGCTAGAATATAGGTAAGTCAGCCACAGTTACTGACGATCGATATTTAAAGGGTATTGTTTTTGTGCTAAATATTTCATAAAAACGTTATTTAATACTTTGTGGATTATTAATTTAGTTGATAATCACTGGAAGTAAAATGGATGCTAATTTGAGAGATCAAGATCTTCGTATAAAACAGTTAATAAAAGAAAATCTACGTAAGTACTCTTTTTATACCTAGGTAGGTAAGGTATAATAAACACAAAAGGTACTTAGATCGCGTGTGTTCGAAGCATTTATTCTAATAAATTTAATTTAAAATTGTAGAAAGAAAAAAATGTCTGCCAAGCCGTAGCCGAAGCCGATCTCCAAATATATTTGGCGATAGTGAGACCCAGTGTCCAGATGATTTACCCAGCGTCGTCGCAACAAAGAAAAAAACGAGGATAAAGTAAAAGAAAATTTACTGAAAGAAGAAACAAACTGTTCTAAATGCTTAATTTATGGAGAAGAGGATAAAAGAAATGAGTATTTCGGACTGTTAGTGGCTCAAGAATTTAAATATATACGGCCATGTGTGCGAACGAGGTGTTATGAAGAAATTTTAAAGTATCTACGGGAAGCAAAAGGCCAACATGTTGATCAACTGCAACATGAAAACACTGAAAATTAATTACTTTCATTTTATTATATATAGATTTTTAAAATTTCCTGAAATATTATTAGTTAACGTTTTATTTAATATTGTAGAATTGATCAATACAATTTATAAAAATAATTTATTGGTATTACTTACATATTTTCAAAAAAAATACGTAAAAACCTATTTTTTTGGGTGATTATGGGAGTTTATGGGTGTTTATTGGGTTTTTACCAAAGCACCGGGTTTAAACCCGGTGCTTTGCCCATCTGTAAATATATGTATATACCTGTTATTTATCAATTACACGTGTCTCTTTTATCATACAGCTAACTGTTTTCAATTAATCAAATCTTATATTGATAATTTGTTAATTTTAGAAAAACAATATAATCGTTGGTAAGCATAATACAGAAGATTACCGGTTGGAACTTGTATTTGGTTATTGTTGGATTATACTTACAACTAGCGGCCCGTCCCGGCGTCGCACGGGTAGACATTTTTAACATTTCCCTTCACTGCTCTACTCCTATTGATCGTAGCGTGATAAAAAGTATACTATAACCTGTCCAGGAGTATTAAGAATAATTGTACCAAGTTTCGTTAAAATCCGTCTAATAGTTTTTGTTTCTATAACGAACATACAGACAGACAGACAAGAATTTTACTGAATGCATTTTTGGCATCAGTATCGATCACTAATCACTCCCTGATAGTTATTTTGGAAATATATTTCATGTACAGAATTGACCTCTCTGCAGATTTATTATAAGTATGAATCAATGATCACTAATATAAATGGATACCCAGTAGTGCCAATGAGAATTAGTAATCTTTTATATCGTAATGGCGTAATGAGAATACATTGGGATCATTCTCTAAACATAATTCTAAAATTACAATTACAGTAAAACAATTATAATTCACCTCCTTATTCATAAAAACGTCTGTCCAGTATCAATGTTGTACTCTTGTTGTAATAGTAACACTTATTTACTAGTACTTATTTACTGGGGGGAAAGGGATTGTTAGTAATGGAGACTAATAATCCCATTGCTAGCAATATACCCAACCAGGTCGACCTCCTCGTGGTTCCCCCTGGAAACTATCATGGTTAATTCTTGATGAATTCATCATGATGGGCTAACTGGCCTGTTTTCATTCTCATCTATCACCCTTCACTGGTGCTCCGCCAGCGTATCCCGTTAGCGCAGGCGGGGTTACTATACCATTTTCATCCATCAAAAAAAAAAAAAGGAAAAAAAAATACTTATTTACTTGGGGGGAAGGGATTGTTAGCAATGGAGTTTGACAGCCCCATTGCTATCAATATGCCCTATTAGGTCGACCTCCACTTGGTTCCCTCTGGAAACGATCGTGAACAATTCTTGTTGAATTCGTCACGATGGGCTAACTGACCTGCTTCATCCTCACCTATCATCCTTCACTGGTGCCCCGCCGGTGTATACCGATAGCGCGGGTGGGGTAACCATTCCATTGTCATCCATTAAAAAAAAAACTTATTTACTACTGTAATACTCATTATTTTTTTTATTTTCAATTGGATATATTTTTTTTTGTCTCTACCAATTTACAATCTATCAAAAAATCTCTTTTGTAAGATAAGTCCGACATTGTGCTCTTTATTTTCTTAAGAACTCTTGTATGTGTATTTTTTAATTTTAAAGACTTTACTGTGCAATAAACTGTTACAAACAAACCTATCATAAACCTATGTTAGCTATTGAAGGGTTTTGTCCTTTTCTTTTGTGTTAATTCCCCGACTTTTTTTTTATTATACAACTTAGAATGGCAAACAAGCTGACGGCCCACCTAAAGGAAAGTGGTAACCGTCGCCTATAGACATGGACATAACAGACTATACAATATACAGTATACTATAACAAAAAGAAAACACTATAATAGTTGTAATAGTTTTGTAGAACGTTTTAATAATTATTGGTCCTTACAGCATTTCATTGTAATACCAATTGAAATTTTAATGTTAGAGGGAGCAATAAAGAATGTTGTTTCAAAATTGACGCTATTACTCTCGTCTTTTCATCCCTAAGATATCATAAAAGGTAACAACAAATAACAACAGGTAATAAGAAGTCAAACGCAAACTTTACAGCAAGTCTTACATTTTACCAAAGATATACTTTAGAACACTAACTGTCTAGGCACATCCCGTTGATCTTACAAAGTCTAAAATCATTTGTCAGGACGTCATCTCTGCTAAAAATATGTATTAAAGTTTAGAATTGGGTAAAACACGTAAATTATACCATTTTCTAAGCTAAAAAAACTACTAGGGCTAATAATTATATCAGAGTTATTAATATTACAGCTAAACATTGAACAAAAGATTTTGAAGAAGTCGAGGACTTGAACCTCCGAGATCTCCAAATTTATAAGAAAAACTATATTAACATAGAACAAAACTTATAAATTGATTTTGACTTGAGTCTCTCTGTAAGTCGTCAAACAGACGAGTTTGGAACAAAACCAATAAACTGAAATTTGTAAGCGTGTGTAACTCAATAAATCAATCAGTCAGTAATAATGGCAAATTAGCACAGAGATGTGACGGCATGTAGCAATACTGCGTGCGTGCCGCGGTTGCATGCGACGCAGACGCCTTCGCCGCGTATCCTGATTGTGGACGCGCCACATCTGCACCGGAGCGCGAAACAATGTTACCATATCGAAAGTAATTAACATTTAATTTGGGTATTTAGAAATATGTAATGACATTGTAATTTAAAAAAAAATGTTAAACTGACACTAACGTGTTCTTTTCATAAACTAATTTTATTTATACCTAATTTAAATAATGCATATTGTTGCTATAAATATTACAAAGATTATTTTTCTAAAATAATAATAAAAAGAATCGAAATATTACAAGCCATCGACAAATTCAAGACTGTTCCTTGTCTATGGACTGTTCATGTCTTGGAGATATCCGATTTATTTTTCATATTGAATAATGGATGATAATGATGATAATTTATTTTTAAACAGTATAAAACAAGCTAGTGAGGTTATTTTATACTGTTAGAATATGACAGCAATGTATAGGACTGTGCTCCTCATTCGTTTCACCAATTTCTCCGCTTACTACTTCTAAGCAACGCAACACAAATATAGATTTCACTGTAATTTAGATAGATTTTTACGGAAGATTTGTATATATCTACAAAATATGTAAAACTTTTGTATAAGCAGATAATTACACCCCGTAATTTGATAAGCTAGTTAATCAAAAAGGCCTCTGCTTACAAAGATTATGCGAGAATCAGTGTATTTTTTGAAATGGTAACTCCACTTGCGCTATCGGTATACACTAGCAGGACACCAGTGAGAGATGATAGATGAAGATAAAACAGGTCAGTTATCCTATTGTGACAAATTCATTCGTAGACATCAACCTGATAAGGCGTATTGCCAGCAATAGGGTTGTTACATTCTCATTATTAATAATCCTTTTCCCCCAAATCAATGTATTAGGAACAATTTTCTTTGTACCTGCCCCTTTATAAATATTAATCGTATTCTTTTTGGACTTCTATAATTGGGTAATTAACAAACAAAATGTATACTTAATTTCGTTTACTAAAAACTGTTCTATATAATGTCTTTAATAAGTAAAATATACATAATAAAAATTGATTCCCTCCCAAAACGCACTGCATAGAGTAATAAACAGAGTAATTAATATGGCAACACTTTAGAAATAACAAATCAGCTGAGCCGATTGCCCGGACGGCGATGTTACGAAAACTGTTTTTTACCATTTCGTGATTTTACGGTAGATATATTTATCTTTATTCATACCCATTGCTTTACGAGTTAACAGTGGTCGTTTACAATTAAATAAGTATTTTTATAATTTAACATAGGACGACTAAGTACGATTCATTGGAGAAAAGCAAATGTTAGTCATGGAAACGGGCGTCCCCTGCCATTTGACCACCCCGCGGCATTCACTAAAAATTATCGTGATTCATTCCTGGTAAATTTATCAAGATGGACCAACTAACCAACTTTAGCCTTACTGCCATCCCTCACTGGTGGGACACCAGTATACCGATAGTGACTGCGCTATTGGTATACACAGGATAGAATTACCATTCTATTTACACCCATAAAAAAATACATATTCACCTATTAAAAAAAGACCTAACTTCATTCCCACCCATTCACTGATTTCCCTCCTAAACTTAAAATAGCGGGGGGAAGGGATTGTTAGTAATGCGGGCTACCAATCCCATTGCTAGCAATATACCCTGTCAGGTCGACCTCCACGCGGTTCTCCCTGGAAACCATCGTGCTGAATTCCAGGTGTATTCATCACGATGGGCTAATTGACCTGCTTTTTCATTATCCACCTATCATTCCTCACTGGTGCTCCGCCAGCGTATACCGTTAGCGCAGGCGGGGTTACCACTCCATTATCATCCATTAAAACAAAAAAAAACCTAAAATAGCTCAAACAGAAATACCATTCCATTTTCATGCATAAAAAAAACCAGCTGCGTCTAAAATTAGATAAGCAATACATAATAACAGTAACAAAAGAAGTGTAAGTAAATTAATTCATTACACACACTGTTAACTAGAGGTAATACAAACGCGTTACAGCGTCATGGTAAAGACGCCGAGATCGAAAACTAACGTTACCGTAGCGTTAGCGTAGCGTGACCGTAGCGTGGGCGTAGCGTTTTTAT